TTGGGATATCTGTGTAATGATAATGGCTCTGCTAGTCAAAATGGAACTGAAAAGTGTGGAAAACTAGAGAAGGAGCTAGCAAACAGTACTAAAATTCTTTCTGAAAAAATAAAGAATAAACATCTCTCTGGATCCGGAAAAACCATTCCATGGTATAAGTTGTCGACATTTCTTAGTGACAGTGACTGTGCAAGGTTAGAATCAGACTGTTTTTATTTAAAAAGTCAAGCACCTCTTGACAAAGAATGCAATAATCTGAAGGCAGCATGTTATAAGAGAGGGCTTGAAGCACGAGCCAATGAAGCATTGCAGAGAAAGATGTACGGATTGTTCCGTGGTTCAGGCAAAGAATGGTTTAAGAAGCTATTGGATAAGATAATGAAAGAGTGTTCGGAACTTAAAACAACAAGTGATGAGTTGTTTTTGCTATGTATTGATCCACTTAAAGCAGTTAGAATACTTGCAGCTGATATCCAAACAAGAGCGGTCTTTTTGCGGAAACAATTGGATCAAAAGCGAGATTTTCCAACAGACAAAGACTGCAAGGAATTGGGGAGAAAGTGTGAGGCTTTAGGAAAGGATTCAAATCAGATTCAATGGCCATGTCATACGCTAAAGCAACAATGTGATCGCTTAGGAACTACAGAAATTTTGAAGCAGGTTTTACTGGATGAACACAAGGATACTTTGAAAGATCAAGAAAGTTGTGTAAAATATCTGAAAAAAAAGTGTAATAAATGGTCTAGAAGGGGTGATGATCGTTTCTCTTTTGTATGTGTTTTCCAAAACGCTACGTGTGAGCTGATGGTAAAAGACGTACAAGATAGATGCAAAGTATTCGAAAAAAATATGCAAGCATCAGACATTAACGATTCTTTTGAAAACAAACAAATAAAAATAAAATCAGCAGCAAATATTTGTCCCTCATGGCATCCATACTGCGATAGATTTTTACCCAATTGTCCTGATCTTAAGAAAGGAAAAACTTTCTGTCAAAATCTTAAAAAATATTGCGAACCATTCTACAAAAGAAAGGTTTTAGAAGATGCTCTTAAAGTAGAGCTTCGAGGAAATTTAAGTAATATAACTAAATGTGAACCTGCATTAGAAAGATATTGTACAGTATTGAAAGACGTAAATAATGCGTCAATCAGCAGTTTATGTAAAGATAATACCGAAAGTAAAACTAAAAAGGCCGATAATAAAAATGTTAGAAAGAAGCTTTGTCTAAAATTAGTGGAAGAGGTGGAACAGCAATGCAAAGTATTACCAGCAGAATTAACGGAGTTAGAAAAAAGTCTAAAAAAAGATGTTAAGACATATGAGGAACTTAAGGAAAGGGCAAAAAAAGCAATGAACAGATCCAATCTTGTTTTATCACTCATTAAGAAAGACGGAAATAATACACCGAAAAATAATAGTAAAAGCAAGGATAAGAATGTCGTTTCAAATGAAAAAGATACCACAAAATATGTGAAAATACTACGAAGAGGAGTTAAGGAGGCACTTGTAACAGAATCTGAAGCCAAGGCATTTGATTTGGCAGCAGAAGTGTTTGGAAGATATGTAGACTTGAAAGAAAGATGTGAGAAATTGGCCTCAGATTGCGGGATTAAAGACGATTGTGATGATTTAAAAGATGTGTGTGAAAAGATTGAGAAGACATGTCGTAATCTGAAGCCTCTGGAGGTGAAACCGCACGAAGCAGTGACAGAAAGCACAACGACGACCACGACGACCACAACAACCGTTACCGATCCGAAGGCAACAGAATGCAAATCCTTACAGACAACAGACACATGGGTTACACAGACATCAACACACACAAGCACGTCTACCATCACATCTACGATTACATCAAAAATAACACTCACATCAACGAGGCGTTGCAAACCAACCAAGTGTACGACAGGGGATGATGCAGAGGACGTGAAGCCGAGTGAGGGATTGAAGATGAGTGGGTGGAGCGTGATGAGGGGGGTGATATTAGCAATGATGATTTCGTTCATGATTTAGAAAGCAAATGAGCAAAATTTAATGATGAGCATGTATATTTAGTAAATAAACGAGCAGGGTAGGACAGGAAAGAGTAAAGTAGATTGAGTCATCTCTTCAGCATCAATTGAAAGTGCATTACACATGAAATCGCGTGTTCCTTATTTAATTGACCACTATTCTTTATCTAAATAACCTTTATTTCTCATTTATGTCCTTTTACATTCTACTTTTTATTTATTCAAATTTTAC